GGTGGGTGGGCCCCCGGGGCCATCCTGGCTGCGGGCTCCCTGCTGGGCACTGGGCCTCCCTCCTTGGCGAGCGAGCTGCCCTGGTGGGCCCCCGCCCCACCCCCGCCCCAGCTGCCGTGTTCACGGCGTGGAGCGGGCTTCGTGTCTCTCCGCGTCGGTGCGCAGGGCCGGGAGGGCGTCAGACGTGAGGCTGAGTGTCTGCCCCTGTGTGCATTTCCCAAAAGCCGCCCACAGACTCACCGCGGCCCTGAGCAGCCCCAGCCCGGGACCCAGGTTCTCCAGGACCCCAGGACCCCGAGCCACCCCTCCTCATCTGCCCCACCCAGTGCTTGTCTGTCCAGGTCCCGGCCTTGGCCCTGCGCCGCCCCCCCCCCCCACTCACCCAGGACCCCGGTGGTCTGGTGAGGGCATGGCTGGAGGGACGACAAGAAAGGGAGGTGCTCTTCTTCCTTGCGAGGAAGCTGCGTGGTGGCAACACCCTCCCTGCCCGCCAGCGTCTGTGAGCGCAGTGGCCAGCCAGCCCCACCGGGGCGCCGAGTGGCTGCGGCAGAGCCCGACCGATGCCGCCTGGGGAGGTGAAGGGCGGGCCAGGGCCGCGCACAGAGTCAGGGCCGGAACCTCGGCCTCTCCCGCTCGGCTCCCCAAAAGGCTGCCCCTCCCAGGAGGGAGCTCCGGCCGCGAGAGTCTTCTCCAGGACGGTCAGGGGGCGAGGGAGGGTGGGAAGACCCGGGCCGTGGGTGGGGTCTCCTCGGGAAAGGGGTCTGGCCCCGCCCCCGTCAGAACCACAATCAGAGCCGTGAACTACCCCTGTCTCTCGCTCAGTGTCAGCGACACCGACGCCGGCCGGGCTGGGGGGCCGGCCCTCAGAGGCCCAGTCCGGAAGGCACAGCAGGGGCGGCGGCGTGGGCCACCTTTGTGCTCCCCACAGAACGCCATGACCCCCCTTTGCTGGCCTGGGGGGACCCTCGGAGCGCACAGCATTTGCCGTTGGCTTGGCGAAACCCACGTGTCCCCGCCCCTGTGAAGTTCACAGGCACGGGAGGACAAGCATCCTGGCACGTGGTGCACTGGGGACCAGAGCCCCGGGGGACCGGAAGCCCCAGGCCGGGGGAGCTGCTCCCCGCAACTTGGCGTTGCTGCGCCCCCGGGACAGGAGGCCTTAGCCGTTTGCCCAGGGTGGAGGCGGGGCTGGGACCAAGCCCAGGTGGACGGGGGCTTCCCGGCTGGTCCCAGGGGCTCCAGGTTATGGAGGCGGAGCCAAGCCAGGTGGATGGTGTGGAGGAAATGCCCCCGAGGCAGTGCACTGGCCCCCGCAGAGGGGGAGGCCGGCCGGTGGGGTCAGGCCGCGGGCAGAGAGTGTTCATGTCGCTGTGCCCGTCACCACGGAGCCCCCTGCCCTGGGGGGCATATCCGAGCAGCCCGGAGCAGCTGGGGGTGGGGGGAGGGGTCACTGGGATGACACCCTGGCGAGAGTTGGGGGACCGGGGGCTGAGGTCGCTGAAGGGCTTCCTCGTGGCGTCTCTCCGTGGCCCACAGGCCGCAGAGCAGTCCCGGGAAGCCGCCTTTCTGTGCCATTTTGACTGTTTCTCCCCCCCCCGCCCCCCCCAGGCAGTTCTCCGTGAGAGGAGGAGCCTCCTGGGCGGCGGCGAGGAGGTCGTCTGCCTTCCGGAGAGTGGGCGGTGGCTGCGGTGCGCGCTCTGGGCCTCTCCCCGCACAGGCCCCCGCCGGCCTTGGTCTCTCTCGGGAGTGGGGGGCTCGAAACGCTGCTGTTTTCAGCTCTGTCACTGATCCGTTTTGCCGGTTTCGGGCCGGTGAGCGCAGCTTCGCGAACGAGAAGGCTTGTTAGCGCGGGGAGGTCAGGACGGAAGATCTCGGGGCGCTGGGGCCGGCGGCGGCGGCTGCGCGCGGGCCCTGGGCGCTGCGCCGGGCTGGAAGGAGGGCGGCCCTGGCAGCAGAGCCCGGGCTGTGCAGTGGCCGGGCGTCTCCTGTCGGCTCGAGAGGCAGTGTTCTGGCTGTGAAAGTAGCAATTTTGTATTTGGCTTTGCGAAACAGAACTCTCTTTGGAAACATCAAACCCCAACTTGGAAGGCACGCGGTGGGAGTGAAGCCTCACCAAGAAGTCAAAAACAAGTGCTTTTTTTACTTGTCTGGCCGTGGAGCGCGAGCGCGATGCAAACCCCAGTCAGATGTGGTGTGGGCCCTCGGCCCTGCTGCGGGCTGGCGCGGGGAGGGCAGGGCCCGCGCCCCCGGGCGGAGCCGGGTCGGGGCCGCCCCGCCCCGCCACCGCCTCTGACCCGCAGGCCCGGAAAGTCTCGGTCCTGCCGCGGCCGCCGCCCGGCCCACGAGCCCGCTGCGCGGCTTCGGCCGGCAGCATCGGAAAACGCGCGTGGAACGCCCAGCGCGCTCCGCTGTATTGAAGAGTTCCGAAAAGGGCCCGGAGAGTCTTGTCAGGAAACGTGCACGGGCATCGTGGAAGGAAGAAGATACTTATCTACAAAGACACTCGGCGAATTCAAAGGATTTGTTACTTGAATGCATGAAAATAGAAGAGGCCGAGGGCCAAACGCGCATGCGCCCCCTCCCCCTCCCTGGAGCTCCGCCCCCGGGGGGACAGCCAGCCCCGCCCCCTGGCCAGCCCCGCCCCCTGGCCAGCAAAGCTGTCCGCCCACCAGCCTCCTGCCTCGGGCGGTTCTCTGCAGCCGGGGGCTTGGCCGGAGGCCAGCGCCTGGGACGGTCCTGGCCCGTTTGCCTGTGGCCCAAAGGGGATGAGCGGAAGGACAGAGGCTGGAGGCTCCAGGAGCCGCAGCAGCTGACCTTTCTCTGGCCCAGAGGCCCAGTGGGGTCATTCCACGCGTGGAGATGAGGGCGGCCGGCAGACAGGAGGACAGTCGCCCGGATGGACCTCGGGGAAGAGAGGCTCTGCTCGCCAGGGCTAGGAGGGTCCGGGGGGAGACGGCAGCGGAGCGCGTGGCTGGCGGAGAGGGCGGAGGGCCGTCCGGGGCCCGCACCGCGGCCCGAGCCTCACAGCTGCCCCTTGGGCGGCGCTCAGCCCGTGACCCTGAGCCCCGTGTCCCAGGCCCCGCGTCAGCAGCGACAGCAGCGCCAAAGCGGGGGCGTGAGCCGACGGAGAGTCTTCTGACCGGACGCGAGTCAGGCAGAAATAATCCTTAAGTTATATATACTGCGTCCGTCCAGAACAAAATCATCTTTCGGCGTTAGCATTCTAGAACCCACGGAAGTCGGCCGGCACGCCCGACGGGGCGTGTGCTGGAGGCCGGAGGGAGAGCCACTGGGAGAAGGGAGGACGGCCCCCGTCCCGGGCGTCGCCTCCTCTGCGCCTGCACCGTCCCGTCCACCGGCCACGCGGACGGACTCTGGATCCGCAGGCCTGGGTCCGGGGCGGGCGCTGAGCACTTGCCGATGTGACGCCGGCCCCCACCGCCAGGGGGCGTCCCCCGTGCGGTGCGACCGTCCGTCCTAGGGCAGCTGCTTGGGGAACACCAGCCGGTCACTTCCCGTCTCCACCGGACTGGGAGCCTGCTAGCGCCCCCTCTCCGCTGGGGCTCTTCCCCACGCCCACGCCAGTCTCCGCTCTCCCGCGGGCTTAGGCGTGCCGGGCAGACAGACTGATTTCCTAGGGTCTGTGCTAGCTGCCTCGATTTCCTTCGCGGACGTGAAACCGACGATGTCTCCGCACTCCACGTCTGGCGTCTTTGGCGAACCGGCACTTGGCACCCTGGACCCCGGGGGTCTCTGGGGGAGCCAACCCGCCTGCTGGGCCAGGGTCTCGGGCGGGTGCGCTGCGTCCGTCTCGCTGAGATCCATCCGCCGTGGGCTCTGCAGATGCTGCGCGGAGGGTGCGCTGCGGTCCCCAACGAAAGGACCCGGGGCCTGGGCCCCGGGGCTCCTCCAGACCCTCGGAGGAAGTGGGCCCCGGGGCCACGGTGCCACCGCTTCTCGGACCGGGCCTCCGCGCCACTCCGCCTCACCTGTGAGATGGGAACCGCCGGACCCTCCCCTCGCCTGCTGTCCCTGAGGCTGAGGGGGGCGCACGGAGCAGCCTGTTTTTAATTTTCCGAGTTCCAGGGAAACGTGCACAGAATCAAATAAATATTTCAGCCGGCGGCCCGCGTCCTCCCAGGGAGGTGGGCAGGCAGAACGAACGTTCCGTTCAGTGGCACGTGACTCTTCAAGGATACGCGTCCGCCCTGAATGTAAACGTCCTTCTCCGGACCATCTTAGAATTTGCAGTATGCAGCATTTGCTTTTTTTTTTTTTTTTTTACCTCAGTTTTCATGAACGTTTCCTAACAGCATTCCTTATTTACTTAATCCCTCGCAGCTGCTTCGCTCACCTGTTTCCGTGCGCCCTCGGGCCGCCCCCAGGGTTTTATTAGGGTTTCCTCCCGAGCCCCCGAGCCGGGAGGAATGCGTTCAAAGTTCTCGGCAGATTCTCCGGGCCAGCGCGTTTGGGGGAGCTTCTCCAGCAGGCGTCTCTCCCCTGTCTTCCCGGGGCCCTCTGTCCACCCCTTTCCTGGGGGGGCCGGGAGCCTGTCCCTCTGCGGCACGGGACCCCCGCCCTTGGGCCAGCACAGCCTTTGCCTTGGCGGCCGGCCGGCCCACAGTCCGCTGATGCAGCCCCTCCCCCACGGGACTACAGCTTCGGATTAAACATCAGATTAAAGATCAGATTTGGATTTTCTGTGTTCGGTCCTTTTCCCCCAGTGCCCCCGACCAGTCAATCGATGCATTGTTCTTGCAAACCTTCACTCTTGGTTTTCGGCGAGAGCCAGAATTAGGGCTATTCCCTGCAAAGCTGTAAGCCAAGGCTAAACTATTTCAGCAATGCTGTCTGCAATGGATACTATCCAGAGTTTGGGTGTGTGAAATTCTCCTGGTTTCCAACCAGTCCCCACCCGGGAGTCTGCAGCCGCTGTGGCCCGTCCTCCCTGCACAAACAGGCGGCCGGCTCTGGCGGCGCGGCTGCGGAGCAGCCACCTTCCAGCCACCGTTGCCGGGTGGGTCTCGGCTGCTGCGTTTCGGACCCCGAGCTGTGGGTCCACAACGGCCCGCGTGGGTGAACCTGCGGGAAGACGCCACAAGTGGCTGTCCCGGCGTAATTTCTGGGTGACGCAGTGTGGCTAGCTGCCCCTGCTGGAAGCCCAGCAGGCCTGAGAAGTGACGTTCTGGGCTGGACGAGGTGGCAGGGGAGCCCAGGGGTTGAGGAGAACCACGGTGCACGGGGTCGGCCGGGCACCGACTCAGGCTCCTGTCGACGCTGCTGGGTGAACTAGGGCTGCTGGGTGATCCAGGCTCCGTGGTTGGTGGTGCACGGGGGGGGGCCCTGGGACAAGAAGGGGGCGCAGTGCACCTCGTGCTTGCGCCAGGGAGCTTCCAGAGGGAGCGTGCACGTCTGTGTGCATGCGTGGAGTGTGCATGTGCACACATGTGTGTGCATCCGTGTGTATGCCCGTATGCCCGTGCAGGAAGGAGGCATGCACGCAGCACCGACAGGCCACAGCATCGCCCTGGTGGGCCCCTTGGGGGGCTCTGGTTCAGCAGACCCGCGCCAGGGTGGCCCCTGGGCGGGCGCGGGCATCTGAGCCCAGCGGGCGAGGCGGGGAGCGCGGGAGGTGGGGCTGGGGAGCGGAGGGGAGGGGAGGAGGGGAGGGAGGGAGGGACGGACGGAGGAGGCTCCCAGACGCGCTGGAGTTACTTGACAGGAGCCAGGGAAGCCGCGCGGACGCCCGCGGAGGAGCGCTCCGTGCCTGGAGGGCAGCTGGTCGACTCCGGGCTGCCTGGAGCGCCGGGGAGAGGACCTCGCGCAGCCCCTCTGCCCGGCTCCCAGCCGCTCTGCGTGTCGCCGCTCCGGGCGCGCGCCCCGCCCTCGCCATGCTGCTGTCCGGGCTCTGCTGGCTGCCGCTGCTCGCGGGGCTGCTCCCGCCGGCGCCCGCGCAGAAGTTCTCGGCACTCACGGTGAGTCCCGGCCGGGTCCCGGTGTCCCCTTGGCCCGGGCTCTGGGCGCCGAGCAGGTGACCCTCGAGGAGGTGGCGCCTCCTCCTCCTGGCGGGGCCGAGGCAGGTGGGACTCTGGTGGGTGGGCGGCGTGCGCCTCCGGGCTGGACTGCCGCCGGCTGCGGGGGGCGCACCGGGTGCGGGCGCCGCGGGTGGGCGGGGGTTGGGGCGTGCTCCCCCACTTGCGCGCGTACACTGCCGGCGCCGCCCCCGCAGAGAGTGCAGGCGGACCCACCAGAGAGTCGGCGCCCACTCGCCGCTGACCCAGCTGCCAGGAGCCCCTCTGTGCGCGGGTTCCCTGCGTGGGCGCTCGCTGGGTGTAGGGGCTGCCGGCCGAGGGCCCTCCCTGTGGCCCGCGAGTTCTGCTGGAGTCTCCTGGGGACCTCTCTAAGGGAGGCGAGGAAAAGCAGATGGCGTTACAAATAAAACCGCTTGTCAGTGGGGTGCGCAGGCAGAACTGGGGGGAGGAGGCACCTCCAGGCCTCTCCCAGGGCCGGGGCTGGGCGCAGGCCACGCGCCCCAGCTCGTGGGTCAGGGCGGTTGACCGCTGTGTGTTTTCCTCTCTTAGCTGCAGCTTCTGGGGGACGGCCTTGGCCGGCGCGGCGCCCAGCGCCAGGCACGGAGCTATGTGCAGGGGCCGCGCCAAGCCACCGGCCGCCGGCCGGCCGGCTGCAGCCCCCAGCTCCGGCGGGCCTCGTGGGCTCGCGGCGAGGGCAAACCCGTAATTAATGCAATCTGCAGAAACGAGAACATCCCCCTTACACATGTTTTTGAACAAGTGCTTGAGAAAACACGGAGGTGGAGAGGACACCTCTGGCGGAGAGACGCTTTGGGGCGGCCAGGGGCTCGCCCCGCAGGCGAGCACCGTGTGGAAAACAGAGGCTGGGGTCGGGGTCGGCTTTCCGGCACATCCTAAGCCCTCCGGAGCCTTCCCTTCTCTTTTAGAGCCGTGCGCGGGGGAAGGAGCCGGCGAGTTCGTGGTTCATACCTAGAATTCTTCTGGAGCGGCCGTGGGTCCCTGCCTTGTCTCAGCCTCCGCGGCCTGCAGATTAGAGTCTGCGAGCTGGGGGCGTGAGGGGGGGTTTTCACACGCTCGGCTCTCCCCTCGGACTCGCCTCTCCCCGGAGGGTCCACTGCCTGCGTGCACGTGTGTGTGCGTCTGTGCACACGTACACGCGGCGATGCACACCCATAAAAACAGAGCCCCCTACTCCACCTTACAGTGCATGGGAGGCTGGGGCCGGCTCTCCCAGTGCGACCCCAAGTGTGCCCCGGCGCTGGGGCGGCAGGTTGTCCGCCGCTGCCACCGAGTTTCTGGACCTGCCCAAGGCGGCAGCCTGTCATCTGCCAGCTGGGCTGGGGGAGCCCTGGCCAGGTGGTCCCCCCACCCCAGGAGCAGCAGAGTCCCTGTGGTTAGTTGTCGGAAGAATTTAAATCTCCGCAGGTTTTCTCCTCTGCCCTCCTCGCCCGCCCTCTCCTGATTTCCCCGTTTGCTCGGAGCCTCCGGCCCTTTGCCTGCGACAGCGGCTCTCTCTCGGGCCGGCGGGGTGCCCGGCAACGCCCGCCCCGCGGGGGGGCGCCCCCGGCGACAGACCCTGAGGGCCCACGGGGCCTCTCTTACAGCACTGCCCAGAAAGCTTCTGGCTTCGAAACCACATTTGCAAATGAAGTGCTGGGCTGCTTTTGCCTGCAGGAGAAAAGTTGAAAGCCGTAAAGCATTTTGGCAGATCGCTTCCTACCCCACCCCTCGCCCGGGGCATCAGGAAGTGGCCGAGGGGCCTCGTGGGGGTGTCCCACGTGCCGGGTCTCCCCGGGGTGCTGGTGTCTCTCCGGCCCCCTTCCTGGCCTGTGGGGGTGTCTTTTGTTGGCCTTTCACCGGTCAGAGGGGCGGCCTCAGCCCGTGGGGATGGGCGCGGCCGCCAGCTGTGCTCCGGAGGCACACTCCCGGCTTTTCTCTGCGGCACCCCCCTCCCCCCGCACCTGTGACGTGGGGCAGAGTCGTGGTGTCTGTTTAACTCGTGTGCAGACGAGAGGTGTGCTTCCAGCGTGCTCGGGGCACATCAGTTCTCCAGTTCACAGTGTGTCTGCGGGCACCCACAGCACGGCCCCTCCCGCGACGGTTTCAAACGCCCTAATTACCGGCTCTCACGGGCCGTGCCGTCAGGGGTGCCTGCACATGGGACCCCTTTCTCTCCACCTGTCGCAGCGGCCGGCCGAGGGCATGCCCCGGTGCTTGGTGTGCGTGCGTGCGCATCGCCGACTGTGAGCTGCGCACGCTGGCCGGGCCGTGGAGACCGGCGCGGTTGGTTCTCCGCCTCCTGCTCCGTCCCCGGCTTCTCACCGCCCAGCAGCCGGATCCTCCGCCTCCTGGGCCGACGGGTTTGCCGGCCCGGCCTCGCGGAGCTCCGCCCGTGGCCCCGCTCTTGGGGCCGTGCGCAGCCCAAGGGTGTCACTGGGCGCTGCGTCCCAGACACAGAGAGTCTGCTTTGCTTGACAAGCACCTTTTTCGTATGCTGCCCTAAGACTTTTTGTTTTTCCTCGTGACTTTCTAATGGCTCGGTGAAGCCTCGGAGTTTTCCGGGTCGGCAGGGTGTCCGCGGCGCCCACTGCGCCCTCATTTGGGCCCGAGTCTCTCTCGTCCGTGAAGACGTGGGTCCCTCCAAGGCCGGGCCCCCCCCACCTTCCGCTTCTCATGTGAGTGGTCAGCCTTTTAAATAAACTCCCGTGCGGGGCTGCGACGGGCAGTGACCGCCCGCGGGACTCGCCGGCCTCACGGCAGGCTCACATCCTCTGCGCAGCGGCGCTGGCCGTGACGGGCGGCCGGGGAGCCCGCTCCGGCGTGTGTCCTGCGGGGTCGGGAGGGCGGCGGTCCCCGTGCCCCTGTGCCAGCGGCCGCTGTCCCTCGGTGCCCACGCCAGAGGGCAGCGTGAGGGGACCCCCACCCCAACCCACCCCACCCCATACCTGTTCTCACTGCCCCCCAAGTGCCCCGTGACACCCACACTCGGCCGGGGGTGCTCTGGTCTGTGTCCTCGTTGCACCTCACAGCAAGCCGACGAGGAACGCTCCGTTGTAGCCGCCTTGGGGGGGGGGGAGGGGCATGAGACTCCCGGAGCCCCTGTCAGAGCCCCTGGGCCTGAGGCTGATTGAGGGGCTCCCAAACCCAACCTGAAACTGTTCTCCTTGCTCCAGGGTGGGGGTTCCCACGAGGGCCTGGTGCACCGGGGGCGGGGCGGGGGGGTGCTCAGGACTCGCTGGGCTAGGGCACCGAGACCAGGGCCGAAATGGCGGCTTTCCTCCCTGCATGTGCCTCTTTGCTTCGAAAGAGAGGGAAGGAGACAGAAAAGAGAATTTGCTCAAATATCAGTTTTAGTGTGTCCTTACTAGTGTGTCCGGAAGAGGGTCTAACAAGGCCGTCGCTGGGACGCCGGCATGAAAGCACTCTCCTGTGTCTGGGCAGCCGCGGTGCGAGCCGTGCGTCCTCCGGTTCTGGCGCCGTGCTCACTCCGAGTCTCTGGCGCGGGAGTGGCCGCGCTTTCCCGCTCCCAGTGCAGCGGCCGGCGGGCCTGGGCACCCTCGGATGGCAGCCTGCCACCTGCCAGCCCCCGAGGGGCCCCGAGGTGGCCGGGGAGGGGGAAACCGAACGCAGCCACGGTTCCCCCTCCCCCCCGGGAAGCCCGTTCACGTGGCAACCAGACACCCACCCGTCTGGAGTCAAAACCATAAACACGGCTCGAAGCCCCTGCTGGCCCCAGCAGGACGGCTGTGAGCCCCCGGCCGCGGCAGAGGTCGTGGTGCTGAGGGGCAGTGGGGCTCCGAGGGGTCCTGCGTCCGGACGAGCCTCTCGGCCCCCCGGGGACTCGGGAGGGGCTGCGGTGCGACCCTTCAGGCAGGGCAGCCTCCGTGTGTTTCTGAGTGAAAACGCTCCCCACTCCGCACCCACGGACAGACGTGGAGTGAGGAGCTGCGGGTAAAACCGTGGAACTAGAGAGAAAACGCAAAACCGTGTCCTGGGCTCATTGATGGAAAACCGGGATCCCCCCTTCCCGACGGCGTCGGGGGCTGGACGAGATTTCACCGTGAATGTGGGTGTGACTTCAGCGTGTGCATGACCATCCACTGAGCATGTGCCCGGAGCCCACGGAAGGACGGATTCGGAAAATGAAATATTGACTCTACAGGGGCTGAGAAGAAATCGCTGTCCGCGGGAGAACAGCAGGCACCCTGCTGTGGTTCTGTGGCCCCGGCTGGAGGTCAGGGAGCAAAGGTCAGCAGCAACACACACGTGCGGGAAGCCAAGCAGGACGCCACCTCGCACTTGCACTGCCAGCGTTCAAGGACAGAGGTCACAGCCGGAACCTGCACACTGCACCCTCTGGCCCAATGTAACGAGGGTCTTTGACACGGGGCCCAGTCTCGGAGTGACCGCTGCGGCCGTAACGACACCCAGGCCTTCAGGACGTGGGACACCCCGTGGCCTGGAGCCAGCGAGGCCGGCTCTGCCCAAGGAGAACTGCCCGGAGCCTCCTCTCCGCATCGCCCCCCTTTCCCGTGGGTCCCCCCCGCCCCAGCCCGGCCACCTTTCCCCTTCCTCGTCCACACTCGGCCCAAAGCCCCTCCTCCCGCCTGCACTGACCACCGACGTGGTCCCGTCCGTGTAGTCCAGCCCGAGACCCCGTCACCGGAGGTTCTGTAGTTCCTCTCCCTCACGCTCCCTCCCCTGGAAGCGCCCCTGCTGAGTGCCGTCCCGGGGGCCGGCTCGCTGTGCTGGGTGGGCCGCCGCCGCCACCCTCCCCCCAGCAGCACCGGGTTGCCGCGCCCGTCCGTGAGGGAGCCCCGGCCCCCGGCAGGGTTTTCTGGGGGGTGAACCCACGCCTCACGTCCGAGGTTGCTGGTCGAGAGTCCCAGCGGGGACAGCGTTTCGGCGAGCACGCGGGGCTCTGGGCGATCCGTGATCTGCGT